CACCGACGCTCGGGTTTTTGCATTCATCCCCGTCGGGGGTTTGGAATCCGAGGCAAGGATTTACTCCCTCTACACCGGATTCGGCCGCGCGTCCTTCGAATTTTTTCGCCCGAGCTATCGAGAGGAAAGAGAAAGAGAAAGAGAGAGAGAGAGAAGGAGAGATAGTTTTATCTTCTTCGGCTCGTGGCTCTCCTCGGACGAAACCGAGCTGGTGGTGATTCCTGTGTATATACATCGTAGTATCATCCCCTGATGATGGGAAGAACGAAGAGAGACCGGTTGGCGGAGGATAATCTAGAAAATAGGATGAAAGGCGATTTCCTGTCTCGGGAAGGGAAAACGAAAGGAACCCGGGATCATCCGAAACAAACGAATCCTCGCGTTTGTCGGAGCTCGCCCGCCCTTTTGTTACCCGTTTATACGGTTAGCTAATGAGGATCAACGTTAACCTATATTAAGCTAATCCATCCTTCGAAAGCCGTTCTCGTGGCACGGTTTCTGCCGCTGGATCCTCGAATCCTCCCGACCTCCGACTAAGAAGACACCTGCCGTCGTCGCGAACACGCTTGCTTCGCGATCGCTCCTCGATCGCTCCTCGATCGCTCCTCGACTTGGTACAAAACTTGGATCTCTTGATCCAAGGGCCCAATAAAAATCAATTTCACGCGTGCACTCGCCGTCCGTTGATGAAATCGGATTAGCCGGCGAAAGTTTCGAGAGAAGCCTCCTCCTCCTCCTCCTCCTCCTCCCTTTGGATCGAGTGGATGGTCGTCGAAGAGGAAAAGACCGGCGAATAGTCGGACCGACGACATCGTTATCGAAGAGACGTTTTTGGTACGCGCGTGGAAGCATTTGTGCCGCTGTGGGCGAAAATCTCGGGACGCACGGGACGCACGGGAGACAAAATATGCGGGGTGGTCCGGTCGAGTTTGCGGCGGGCCACAGGCCGCAACTTCATTTACACCTATTCAGCCTCCTTCCCTCTGAACACGGCCTTTAGATTTACGAGCTATCTCGCTCTCACCTCTCGGTTTGCCTCGCCACCTTGCCGTCGCGTTCCTCTCTTCGCCGCCCTCGTCGTCCTGCCTCGCTTCGCCCCGTTTCGCCGCGCCTCTTCCACCATCTTCCTCGGTTCGCCGCTCCACCTCCTCGACCCGATCGGCATCGAGCCCCGACCGACGCGTTTAGATCGCGACGCTTCCGACCGCTCTCTCTCTCTCTCTCTCTCTCTCTCTCTCTCTCTCTCTCTCTCTCCCTCTCTCCCTCTCCCCCTCCGTTCCATAGAGAACCGTACCGACAAAGGAATGACCCGACGCACTCCACCCCGAATCATTCTCATCCCTCTATCGCGCGAAGGCGCCGCCTCTCTGAATAAATCGCTGCGCCAAGATATCGATAAGGTTATTGATTTATCGACCGGTCGACCGAAAGGGTATCTCTGATACGAAAGCCATGCGCCACCACGCAGATCCAGATTCGTCGAGTAGAACGCGCGCGCTTTTATTTTTACCCTGTTCCTCCGGCGGTGGTGGTGCGCGCCACGCAACTTATTTTCGTCGAAATTGCGGTTACGAAGGTGGAACGAGGCCTGGCAAGGAGGGTCCAGGAAAAACGCGGCCTCGCGCGGAGTGCCGTGGAACTCGTCGTCGACATTAAGTCATTACCGTAAGCGTCGAGCCGAGCGAGCGGGCAATCGGCGCGGACAGTCCGTCACGCGAGAGACCGTGGCTTCGCTCTCGGCGATTCCGCTCGCTAACAGCTTATTCGCCCGTGACTCGACCTCGATTATTTCAACGCGAGCTCTCGTCTGAAGAAACTCGACCAACTCGCCCGCGGCGAATCAGCAACGAATGTTAGCCGGCGACAATCGCAGAGGTCCGAACAACGACCTTTGGGAGACTTTTCCTCTCGTCGATCGAAAGAAAGAAACCGGATGAATACCGCTTCGAATTAGAATCGAGTTTTTCTCCATTCCTTGTCTCCATTCCATGTCTCCATCTTACGTATGCGTTGTGTCCTGAGAAATGGCGAAGGAAAACAAACTCGCCAATAGTTTTATTTCGCTCTATGGTCGAACGATCGAATTTCGAATCGTCATCGCGCGCGACGAGGCGGTGACGAGAGGAAGAACACGAACGAAAGGAGAAGAGGCATCGCGAGGTTGGACGAGCATTCCCGCGGTATTATAATTGTTCGGAATTTTGCCGACGAGGAGCTCCTCCGTTCCTTTTCCTCCGCTCGAGTTTCCAGCGCGGTGTCCTCCTCCTCCTCCTCCTCCTCCTCGGATCTCGTCTCTCGAGAGACACGCGTCGACAAAAACGTAATTGCGCTCTCGTCGCCGAGACGATTTACGTCGATCAATCTCCCCGTAACTCTGAGCCGGGATCGCGACCGCTGCGAAGTGACCTCGTTCCCGAATATCCATCGCTCCGATCTTTTTACGCCGCCCCGTAAATCGCCGTTTCTTGCGTCTCCTTCGCCGCGTTCCACGCTACTTCTCCTTCTCTTCGCGTCTCGACGACTTTCGTTTTCCAACCTATCTCCTCTTCCCTCCCCCTCCTGTGTTTTCCGCTCGCGGAATTGGCGGCCGAGCGGAAGAAAGGAGGATGCGCGGCGGAGAGAGGAGATGATGGAGCGATGGAAAAAGCCTCGTGGCCGGCGCGGATCCATAGCTACGCGGCCGCTTCTCTTCTCTTCTCTTCTCGCATTCCGACACTGCGTTCGTTCCCACACACGCATGTGTGCACCTCCACCTTTCGATTCGTGCATTCTCGCGACGTCGGACCGCGGAGGGAGACGGAAGCGGGCCGTGAACGGAGACGAACCAGCTGCGACGGGCGAACGACGGGGGTACGCGGGGGACGAGGCTCTCGACGGATGAATGAAAAAAGAGGAGAAAGGAGAAGAGAGTGAGAACGGTACGGTGAACGGGGGGACGGGGATAACGAGAGTGAGAGAGCGTGTCGCGATGTTGGACACCAGGGGGGCGAGGTAGGGAGGTGTGGAGGGGAAAGAGTGGTAGCGTAATAGGGGGAGGGAAAGAGAAGCAAAGAGAGAGAGGAGAGGGTGAGATCTGGGAAGGTTTTCGAAGAGTGGGAGAGCTTCGACAAAAGTTCCTTGCGCGATGACCACGAACAACGTGGTGGGGAACCCGACAGGCGTGGCCTTGATAAGGACCGCCCGCTATTTCCCCTTGAAAGCCACGTGCTCGTCTACTAGCGACGGAGAGGAGAAGACGTGTCTCCGACAGCGGAACCTGCCAAACATCTCTCGTTCCATCGTTGGGTTTCGCTCGCGATTCAACGCGTTTCCTTCGGGAAGAAACGTTGGTGCGAAAACCGAAGACTTCGGATTTCGTCCTTTGATCGCGAACCCCCTCGCGTTCGAGGCGATCTTTTTCGCGACGCGACGACGATGAACGTCGACGAACGTCGATCCAGCTCTCGTTTCGTCGAGAAAAATGTAAGGAAATAGGGAAAGGAAAAAAGCTTTGCGTATCGTGTCTCGAGAAGAAGAGGGAACTCGAGTCGAAGGAGGAGAAGGTCGGAAGATCGAGCGGAAGAAAGAAGAAGAAGGGCAGGGGCTTGACGAGAGAGGCGGGGCGAAGCTCGATCGGTGTTGGGGGGTCCGTCGGTCGAAGGGGAAACGTGTGCTGCCGCTACCAGCGTCCCGACGAACGACGGAGAAGAGGATAAAACGGAAGGGAAGAGAAGCGAAGAGCGGAGAAGAGAAGAAACGCGGAGAAAAGGGAAGCGAAAAGAAGCGAAGCGCGAAGAGAGGAAGAGATCTTAGAGGAAGGGGTTCGCTAGGAGGGAGAAAGAAGGAGACGTTGAGAGGAACCTTGGGGTGGAGAAGAGGGGAGAAGGTTCCGTTCTCTCTCTGAAGAGAGATCGGCTCTTCCGCGGAGGAGCGCGTGCAGTCGCTAGCCGAGGCCTATACTTGTCCGTCGAAGGGTATTGGTTCTCCAACTCGGTACCGTACCCCCCGAGACCGAGCGAAAGAGAAGGAAACGACGAGTCGTCTCTCCCCTTGGCGCGTTCTCTCGCGGGTCGACGCTCGTTCGCTCGCTGCTCGCTGTGCTCGCTTGCACGTATTGGCACGTTCGTTGGTTCGTTCGTTGGTCCTTTGGTTGGGTTCGATCGACGACCGATCGGCCGATCGATCGCGCGCACACACGCCGCGCATCTCGCCCTCTCGATACGCGATAAAGGAGAGACAACACCACCGTAGCTACCGTCGAAACTGGACAAGACGCGACAAGACGGGACGGGGAAGGGAACGGAACGGAACGGAACGGAACGAGAAAGAAGATCCGATCGACGTCTACTGCGCGACGGAGAGACTGATCTACCGATTTCGGGGCTGTCAGTCTGGTTTCGGCAGACTCCGTTATTAGCCGAGCCGATAGAAGCGACGGAAGACATTCGAGGAGGGTTGCCAGGTATCCTTCGGCCTCGCCGTGCGCCTCTCCCACCACCTCTGATTCGGCCAGAACTGGGCAAGGGTGACACCCACCCCTCGAAAAAAGCCCTTCGGGGGGTGAGTTTCCGGCACTCGAGGTTGCCCGATCCGCTCCACCAACTACAGTCACTCAACGACCTGACAGCGTCACGGTTCTTACGATCTACCAGCTACCATCTATCTATCCATCCATTCTTTGACAGCTGACTCCTCCGCTTCGATCAATCTCATCTCTTCCTTCCTTCCTTTCTTTCTTTCTTTCTTTCTTTCTTTTTCTCTTTCTTCTCTCTATCGTGGAATTCCCTGTGCAACGTCCGGACGTGCAAGTGTCCCTTAACGATGATTTAAACGTCTGTCGTCTATTTGATCGTTGGATACACGTGGATATATCGCATCTCCAGTGCTCCTCGACAGAGTACGCTTTGCTAAAACTTGCTATGTGCGCGACACCGTTCACGGAGAATACCGTGTGATGTTCGTAATCCGGTGAGTGGAACGTTGGTTGGTGCATGGTGTTTCGTCCAAGATCGCACACCCCCATGATTGCATTCGATCGTCGACAGAAGATGAGACTTTGGGTGATTATCTGTGCCCTGGTGGTGGCGATTCACGCGTCCATCGCCGAAATGCCAAGGAACAAGAATCGTGGTAGAGGATCGATGTGGTGGTAAGTGAAAAAAAATTATTTCTCCGTTCGATATCGTTTCTCGAATCCGGCGCGTATAAGATAAAGTTGGTGGTGGTAGTGGTGGTGATATGGTGGTGGGGTAACCGCGCATGACAAGATCGACGAGACGGATGTAAAAAAAAAAAAAAAAAAATCTACTAGTCGAGTCGTTTCGGGGAAGGACAAATTTTTCGTGTGTCGTTGTTCGGTAACGTTCGACGGTTAATTACGGACCGACAAGAGTCGCGTTAACACCTGTCTCGCGTCTTTTATCGAACGAACGGTGGCAGCGACACAGGCGGGGCGCGCCTTCTTATTAATTCATTAATCATAAGCCTGCGGCTCGTTCGTTTCAATCCGCCAATGATTTCTCATAGGTTGAAACGTGCCCACGTCCCGGCTACAAGAAAATGTTGGATGGATATTAGATAATGGCTAACTTCATTAACCGGGTAATAAATAATGTTGGCGGTGCACGATCGAGCGTGCGTGCATACGTGGTTGAGCGGCGAGCGCGCTTGTGCTCGCGCTCGCGACCGAAAGAGATAGCCGCGGAAATATCCGCGTAACGATAAAGTGGCGGCGATAAATCAGCCAGAGTCTCGATTGCTTTTCCAACCGCGTTGATTTAACACACTGTCACGTGCGTCCGCCGCTCGGGTAATTATTACCTACGAATTAATTAATCTAATACGACGGTAAATTCGCGTGGACGCGTACAAAACAACCTGCTTCGAATTTTCCAGTCGGGAGTAATTTATTATCGCCGGCCGTGTCTGCAATAGGTCGACTTTTCGATGTATTCGCGTTGGCTAAGCTTGTCGCCTGTTCTCGATAGATATCATTGGCAAATCGCTAATATATTCGCCGGTAACAGGGAGATAACTTATCGCGTATAAGGCGAATAATCCCGCTAGACGAATCTGGTGCGACAGCGTTTCTGGGTGGTCTTCGAACCATCGTCAACATCGATCGCGAGATCTCGAGATGGATATTTACACGCGACGATTGAAAAATTTGACGATTCGCGATAGTTGTCTAGCCGCGGGCGCGTTAGATCGGAATGGAGGTGCGCGAAACTGGACGAGAAGTCGGTCGGTCGATCGATCGAAAAAGACGTCGTCGCCGGTTCGGATCGGAGTCGTGACATCTCAACCTGATTCGCGACGTTGTCGTTCCACGTGCGATCGCGATTCAATATCGATTGTACGCGTTCGTCGAGGATTAATAATAACGATCGAATGACGTTATGAGGGCGATTTCGAGAGCTGGGTGATTGTGGTGATGGACGATCGATGAAATAATTCAACGATAATCGCGCGAATTTAATATAGCCTTTTGTCACTGGGGGGGACGCGTGGCACCGGATCGTTATTAGTCCTCGTCGGACGATAAATTATTTTCGTCGTGGTGGCGTGTCCGCTGGCAGAAAACACGTGGACAAGTTAGATGGAGAGGAGCGAGAGGGAGAAGAGGGGACAGAGAACCGGGTAGGATCGTCGTCTCGAGAGTCGTCCCTGAGCTTTCTACCCGACGTAAATTACAAGCAATAGATATATCCTAACCGGTCCGGAGCACGGCTTATTTATGGACATCGCGCTTATCGAATGCATCGTATAAACGATTCACCGGGCAAGCGCGCGCCCGTCCGCCCGCCCGCTCTCGCCTTCTCGAGTTCTCGAGTTCTCGAGCTCTCGAGACCCGCGGATTCGTCGAACGATCGTACGGCAAGAATTTCGCGCGTCGACGAAAAGAGACGATCTTTTGGAAGGGATGTTGCAAATAACGCGCTCCCCGATCTTTCGATTAACATCGCCGAAGAGATTCCTCGATTTCGTGTACTCGTCGAATCTTGAATACGCGACGAAACGAAAAATTCGCGCCGTTGCTACTCCAAGAAGAGTTCGATTTTCATCGCGTGATCGCCAAGTTGAAAGGAGGGGGTGTTCCGCGCTGATGTTGGTCGATTTTACGAGCGGTTTGTACGTATCGCGATTCGGTTTATTTATACGGGGCGCAAGAGTGTCAACGAGAAATCTCGGTCGCAGCTGGCTAGACTTTTCGCGGTCGGTTTCCTCCTCGACTGTCTCTGCTAGGCGTCAAGCGAGTCGTTGACAACGAACCGTCGACGGAGGTTCTAGGAGAACGGTGATTAGCTGTTTATTATGCGCGGCGACGAGAGATCCGATCCCTGCGGGCGCGAGCTATTTTTCGAATCGACGTAGCTCTAGGCCGCGTAGAACGTGCTCCCATTCTCAACTAGGAAAAATAACCAAACGGGAGGCGTCTCTCGTACGCGTAGCGAAGCGGCAAAGCAGTCGTAAACGATCAATCCTCGTCTTCGCGCGAGGATCGTCGACCGCCGATCTCGAAGCATTCCTGATCCCGCTCGAGAAACGTTTCTCTAAAAGTTTGCACGTTCTTCTCACGGATGGACAACGGCGCGGGCAGAGACCGTTCTTTCTCTCTCCCTTTCTCTCTCTCTCTCTCTTTCTTTCTCTCGAGCGTTTTTCTGCGCGACGCTCGATCGATCGAGACGCGAATTCTTTCGCAGCCAGAACTCGCGCGGCAGCTTGATTTATATATACGCCGCTACCGTTGACCGAAACTGTTGAACCAGTTTCGTCTTTCGAACTAATTCTCCTTGGCGCTCCTTGCCCCCTTCCTCCTCTCTGTCTTCTCTCCTCTCCTCTCCTCTCTTCTCTTCTCTTCTCTCTTTCTCTTCTCTTGAAGAGTCTCTCTTGTTGTCTCTTCTTCTCTCTTTTCCTTCGACTCTCCGAGCCAACTCTCGGAGTGTACCGTTTTTACGCGTAAACCAAATTAGTGTCGACCGAATGCACGACGAATGCCAATGTACGACGTACCGATTGTGAATCGCGGAACCAGAGATTTCGCACGATTTATTATACGGGAGGGATAAAGGTATCATCGTGGTGAAACGGGAATGCCAAGTCCCTCGGGGGGACCACCGGTATCGTTCGCTGTCAAAACTCTTCGTTAACGCGATCCTTGTTTGAAAGGGCGTCTTTCGCGCGGAGTCTGCCGCCTTCTTCTCGGACTCCTCCCTCCCTCCCAGACTCGATTCTCTTCGAGACGCGGAAGAAAGACGTAGGGAGGATGATTTAGCGCGATTATTTTTTTTTCTTTTTTTTTTTTTCTTTTCCTCTCTTTTTTTCTTTTCATCGAGCAACAAACACGCGAGGATAATCTGTGTTGCGATCGAGGAGAAATTAAACGGACCGACTTGGTCCACTTTTCTTCCCAGGGGAATCGCGAAGGCAGGAGAGCCGAACAATTTTTTGCCAATGTCTCCAGCCTCCCTTCACATGGATCCCACAGTGTACGCGACCTTGAGGAGAAAGCAACGCAGGTTGGCCAGGGAAAATCCAGGAGTGTTGATGGCGGTGGCCAGGGGCGCGAATCAAGCGATCGCAGAGTGCCAACATCAGTTTCGCAATCGTCGATGGAATTGTTCCACCAAGAATTTCCTCCGTGGGAAAAATCTGTTCGGCAAGATCGTGGACAGAGGTGAGCATCGGATTTCCTTTCTCTTTCTCCGCTGCTTTTTTACTCCCCGACCAATCATCTGGTTCGTTAATTGCCGCTCGAAAATTATCAGCGCGGCGCGAGCTTCGCTAATTGACGTCGAAAGATATATACGTATACCTTCGTTCCTAGCGATACTCGCGAAATTAGCGAACAACTTTGCGAAGGCCGAATTTTTTATTTTATTTTATTTTACTTTATTTCGTTTCATTTTATTTCCTTTGCCTCGAATCTCTCCGAGGCTGCCACTTCGCGACTAGAAGTCGAGAAGAATCGAGATTCGCGATAAAACTGCGCACATATATACATGTATAACGGACCATAAGGTGGACTCGTTCCACGTTCCCAAAAAACAGCCCATTGTCCGTGGTCGTCTCCGACAACCGGTATTCCCGATAGAGATTTACAGGAGACGAGGTTTCGAGGAAGGAGGTTGAGAGAAAGACGAGAAAGATGAGGAACTTCTTGAGCGGAATTTCTTGAATTTCGCGGACCCACGAATTCGTCGAGATCTCGAGCTTTATCCGTTATCGTCAATATCGTTTTGGAAGTTGCGCCATCGAAAGAAACGATTTTCTCTGGCCATATATATATATATATATATATCGATTTGGCGACATCGTTATCGATAAACAAAGCGAATTCACCGAGTTAACTTTATTATACAAAGTGATCTAATTTCAACGCGGTATTATCGTTAGTCGATGGACTCGCGAAGCACCGTAAAAAGCTAACTATTCGATCGTGTAATTAAGATATAGGCGTAATTAGATTACGGTTCCGTGATTAATTTTCCCATCGAGTTGTGGAATTGAGATCATTGAAACGAGTACTAGTATCGACGTTTCTTTTTTCTTTTTCTTTTTTATTTTTTTCAATGCGTTTTTCGAAAGTAAGACGAAAAATGTCAAGAGAATTTTCAAGAATCGAGAATTCGACGATTGTTCTATCTCGAACGTGCTCGCTTCGTATATTTCATCTCTGTTTCGCTTGATTTTCGATGAAAGACGAAAGATCTCGAGATCTCGAGATATCTAAGAATCGAATTCTTGGTGGCGAGAAAGAGGGACGCTCGAAGCGGAAGATTATTCGAAGAGGACAACAGGGTGTTGGCGCGGAGGGTTGTAGCGGAAATCAGGGAGATAGAATTGAGTGAAGGGGAGAGAAGAGGCAAGGATCAGGATCGTGGAGAGGAACGAGGGGATCGAAAGGGGCGTGCCCTTGGTCCGAAGGCCCCGGGCACGTGCCCTCACCGACCAGATGTATGTTTTGCAACCTGATAATGGACCTTCTCGTACCAGTTCTGGCTCCCCTGCGGCTCTTTTAGATCTCGTCGAGGCGATTGTAAGCCGAGCTTTTTCGCTCGGCCCGCTCCCGCCCTATTACGTTCGGTGTCCCCATATGGCCACTTATCGCGCTAGTAAAACTGAAAAAAAAAAAAAAGAAAGTATAGGAATACAAAATAACGAAGAGATCGCTGCCCATAACCCTTGCGCTTCGCCACGCATCGACGCGCTTCCAATATATCTCTCTTTCTATCTCTGTTATCTAGCTGTATCTCGATCGAGATCAAATTCTCGATCGTTTTTTTTTTGTAAATCTTTCACGATAGAAATGTAAATCGTGTCATTGATAGAATTCTGATATATGTAGACGCATATGGGAATGAAAGCAACCATGATCTTTCGCCCTTTTACGATTCGCTTCTCGATCTAAGATCCGAGGAAGATCAGTTTCTCCTTTTGATCACGATCTCGTTCCTCTCTCTTTCTCTCTCTTTCTCCCTCTCTTTTAATCAATTCGCATCTTTTGTCTTCGAGCGAGATCTTCGAGATTAGATCTACGCGGTGCTCGTGTAAGCGCGCGCGAGGGGAAACGCAGATCGCTATCGACGATTCGTAATGTTCGCGTGTACTCTTATTTAAAGATCGAGCAGGGGCCGAAAGGGGGGAAAGGGGAGAGGGGAGATCTGGTGCAGACTGGTCGTCGCGGCGACCTAAACGGTCGTTTCCGGATTATGCAAGGGGGGTCGTACGATTACATACGCTCGTCGCGTGCGTCCTTTTCTTCTCGTCTTTTTCACGATCCTCGCTCTCTTCTCTATCTCTTTTTTCTTCTTTTTTTAATTCCACCCGACCGTGAACGAAATCGGTTGAATTCGGTAACGTCCGTTCGACGATACTCGAGCGGCAGAAATATCCCGCGCGTGTCCAAACCGAAGGTACGCCGCGATACTTTTGGAGGCGTTTGTACTCGATATTATAGCTGGTAGTGAGTAGGTTCGCGGCCTGTAATCATTTCGCCGCCAAGAGCCACCTACCGCATCGGTGTCTACCCCTCGGTTTCGTTCGCTCTCCTTCTTCTTCTTCTCTTTCCTCTCCTTCTTCTGCTTCTTCTTCTTCTTCTTTTCTCCTTTCCCCTGCGGCTCATCGTTTCGAGGTGTTGGTCTCGCGTGGATTCTCGAGCCGAGAACTCCGTATCCGTCTAATTGCTCGGTAAACTGCGAATCTCGCGAGGCCTCCGTGCGATCCGTGCGTTGCGTTTTCTTTCCATTTCGGACCACGCGTTCGATTCTACCGTTTGGAGAAAAAAAGAAAGAAAGAAAGAGAGAAAGTGCAACGCGGAACGAAAGCGATCGGAACGCGAACGGTCGAATATATATATAGGGAGAGCGTTCCGTGCACGCGGACTTGGAGATCGGGATCGAGATCGGGGAGAGAGGAGGAAAAAGAGAAGGACAGGAAGAAAGGAAGGAAGGAAGAGAGAGATAGGATGGAGAGCATCGAGAGGCCATTTACAGGGGAAATTCGCGATCGATATCAAAACGGCGTGGCGCGCGAGCGTCGCGTCTTATACGGAGACCCGTCATCGGGTTTTTACGACGGCGTTACGCCGCCATAAATCGCGGCCTATGATGGGCTACATGTGTCGACGGCACGCCACGATTTCTTGCGAAAACGTGAGCCGCGAGCCAATGGGCCTGTTGCCCCCCATCGGTCCTCCGTGATTTTTACATCTTGTTTGCTTCCACGCTCCGGAGTACGAGTTCCCGCGCCAGTCCGCATAACCTATATGGCGATCGCATTTTCGCACCCCTCTTCCCCCTGCGTGTGACCCCTTCCCCCTCGACCCTACACCACTTTTGCATTCAAGCAACGCGAGCCGGTCGATGCAGTTTTTCGAGGATCGACGTCGCTCCTCGTCGACCAACCACGCGTTTCTCTCCTCCTCTCCTCTCTCTCTCTCCTTTCCTTTCTCGTTCTTCTCTCTCCCTCGCCCGGCTTCCTCCGGATCTTCGCGGCGGTAGCAATAATTTCCGGCGATTTTATCTTCCTGGAATTTCACCACGGTCGCGGACGACCGTCGTAAACCCGCGTCGCGATGTCACTCGGCTACGATCTACTCTCGTCCTCTCTCCACCGCGCCTTTTTATTTTTCTCCTTTCGGATCGGAGCCGCGACGACGCGCTCGCTTTTCGCCAAACAACCAACGTTTTTCTTCTCCGCTACGCGAACAGGTACGCGACGAACCACTTTCCAGCAATACGTGCGTACGTACGTACGACGACCGGCTATTTACCCTGTGGCAACGAGCCGTGTGTCTCCGCTATTTGCACGGACCGATAAAGCGAACGTGAAATCGTTTATCACGGCCCCGAACGAACAAACGTCGAAGTCGTCGTCGTCGTCGTCGTCGTCGTCGTCTTCGTCTTCGTATGTGCGTTCCAAGCCCGCGAGGAGGACAGACAAACATCGGAAATATGGAGAAGTTACGTTCCTTTCTCTCTGCTCTTTCGATAACGATTTTTCGCCTTGAATACCGTTCTCGTGACTCGACTTCGTCTCTCTTATCTCGACCATCCGACTGTTTGACGATCGTAAAAAATCGTGGAGGAAAGCGATCGTGGAACGCGGTCTTCTCACGCTCTCTCCGAAGACGATTGCGACGAGGGAGGGAGTACGCGCGAGATGATTTCATCGTCAACAACGACGGGGGAGAACCGGGCGTTTTCGCGAGAAAAACTCCCACCAGCCGTGTAATCCTTTCGGTCATGGCAGTCCGAGATGATGAGGAATAATATCCGGAACCGATGAAATTTCGAGGAGGACAGCTCGAGGATTCGGCGCGGTAACGCGGTGGAACGGCGTAAATCTTGCGTTCCCTCGCCGTCGGCCTCTTCCTCGTAAGGTTTACCTCCAGCCTGGAAAGGATCTATCGACCACCGTTTTCGCCTCCGGTCTTTGGATTCGGAGGATTAGGGAAAAATCGTTCCTTTCTCTCCCTCGCTCACTTCCCTTTCTCCTTCCATTCTTACCGCATTTCGGCGTGAAAGCGCTTTTTCTGGTTCGCGCGGGAAACGCGTGAACGCGAATGCTGCCGAGCGTCTCAATGCTCGCGCGCGGAAAACGACTCGTGACGAATTCTCGCCCCGAAATTTGACGCGGTCGATTACGTCCCCCGATACCGGTTCCTTCCCTTTTCCTCGCGCTCCACGACGGTTTGACGTCTTACTTGGACGGTCCCACAGTTGAAAGAAGGGAGCCATCTCTCTCGACCCATCCTTTCCGTTCGACGGCCACGGGAATCGTGACGCATCGAGCGATAACCTTCCGTTATCTCCGCGACCATACACGTAGGTGGCAATTGGCGAAACGACCCTTTCGCTCGGCGGCTACGCGCGAGATACCTTCGGTCGGTCGGTCGGTCGGTCGGTTGCAAAGGAACCGGCAGGCACCTGCGCCTTATGCAGATAAGGTCGAGCTGCCTCTCGAGGGTCAGCCCGCTCGGGGTTAAGGTCGCGCCTGCTCTCGCTCCAACCGCTCATCTCTGTCTTCCGCTCCAACCACATCGGACCACGTTTCTTTTCCTTCGCATACATCCTCTCGGCTTCCCTCCACACCTGCGCGGAGCGGATTTCGCGCGCGCGCGCAGGTAGTCCACGCGAACGACCAACGATTGAGACGTTCCTCCTCCTCCTCCTCCTCCTCCTCCGACATCTCTCGACTCGCTCGCCGCAATTTACGAATCATCCTCCATCCGATGTTTCTTTCCGCTCTTGGCCGGATCAACGGTACGATATACTTTTGCGACGAACGAGATGAAAAGAAGAATCGTAACCCGAGTTAACGGTAACGGTATTTTGTTACAGGTTGTCGAGAGACCGCCTTCATCTACGCCATCACTAGCGCTGCGGTGACTCACAGCATCGCGAGAGCGTGCAGCGAAGGCAGCATCCAGTCCTGTTCCTGCGACTATACTCACCAATCGCGACCACCATCCACGACGCGCGATTGGGAATGGGGTGGTTGTTCGGACAACATCGGTTACGGTTTCAAATTCTCCCGTGAATTCGTGGACACGGGCGAACGCGGTCGAAATCTGCGCGAAAAGATGAATCTTCACAATAACGAGGCAGGTAGAGCGGTAAGTTTCTTTCGCGGCGATAAAAGGAGAGGGGAGAAAAGGAAAGAGAAGAACGAGAGGATCGAGGTGGTTTGCTTCGTATGTCGCAGCACGTGTCCTCGGAGATGCGGCAGGAGTGCAAGTGTCACGGCATGTCCGGCTCCTGCACGGTGAAGACCTGCTGGATGAGGCTACCCAACTTTCGCGTGGTCGGGGACAACCTGAAGGATCGATTCGACGGCGCGTCCAGAGTTATGGTGAGCAACTCGGACCGGGTGCGTGGCAATGGGAACGCGATCGTGAGCAATTCGGCGAGCAATTCGGTGCACGGGCATCGAGAAGGTCTGGGTCGTCGACACCGGTACAACTTCCAGCTGAAGCCGTACAACCCGGAGCACAAGCCGCCCGGACCGAAGGACCTCGTCTACCTGGAACCCTCACCCCCGTTCTGCGAGAAGAACCCGAAACTCGGCATTCTCGGCACCCACGGTAGACAGTGCAACGACACGAGTATCGGTGTCGACGGCTGCGACCTGATGTGCTGCGGCAGAGGCTACAAAACGCAAGAGGTGACCGTCGTCGAGAGATGCGCCTGCACGTTTCACTGGTGTTGCGAGGTCAAGTGTCAGCTCTGCAAAATCAAGAAGACGATACACACGTGTCTCTAGGCCAACCCACCACCCCCTCTCCCTCTCGTTCCCCCTATCTCTCCCCTCTCTCTCTTCCCCATCCCCGATTTCCATTCTTTCGAAGAGACTACCTCCTTCCTGGCGAAGGAATGTATTTCCGTAGTCACTCGCCGTTCCCCGAATCAATTTCGTCGTCTTCGTCGTTGTCGACGAGAGAAGAAGATGATCCATGCGATTCTACGCACGAAGGATACGACGCTGCGTTCGGTTTCGCGTCTCCGGATCGAGCGAATCCCGCGACGGAGCCGTTACGGAGCCTCCTCCTCCTCCTGTATTGTCTCTCAGTATTACGCGAAACGATTGAAACCGTATATTTATTACGACGTTCACGGACGCGTACTAAAGACTGAGACGGTGAGAATGATTGTTAATCGGATCGCGATCGTTAATCTTAGAACGTTAGATGTAAAAATTTTGAAAAATGGTCTCACTGTACATACGACATTTCTCTCTCTTGTTCTCGGATTTTTTTTCTCCGAAACATCTCCGCATGGCGCTTCGAAACTTTCCACGCGTCATTTGTTTTCTCCCCCCTTCCCCCCCTTATTTTTAATAATAGCGAACGCGAGATTCGTTAAACTCGTTATTTATTCCGATCCTTCGGATCGCGTACTTGTATATAATATGCGTAGACTAGTTATATTACGAATGAATATAAATTTATATGTAAAATGTATATATTATATTTTTCGAAATATTTATCGCGCTCGTCGAAGCGTCGCGCGAAAAGTCTCCCCCCCCCCCCCCCCCCTTGTTTGTAAATATTCGACACTGGTGAGATGGAAACGAGGTACGAGTAAATTATTTTTATATACATATCTCTCTCCCTTAGCTCCTTACGCTGTTACTTTCGATCACGTGCGGCGATCATCCACCCACACGGATTTAAGGATTGGAAGTAACCGTATTTAACCATCCAGCGTTGGATGACGTCTCGACTTTTCTAACTTCGAGCGAGAAAACGATGATTTTTTAACGGTAATTGTACGCGAATCGTGGATTCTTTCTTTTTTTTTTTTTTTTACACGATTTTTTGTAATTTATAAAAGAATGGACGTATAAAAAAAAAAAAATGAAAATAAAGACGATTTACGAAGGAGTTGAAGGACTCGTCGACGCATCATCATTCTTGTTGTCTCTCCGGATCTCCGGATGCGTCGTCAAAGACGGTGGATCTCGTCCCCTCGTCCGGGTGGTGTTGCACGAATCACCGCGTACCACCGCGCGGACCTATCCTCGCGAAATATAGCCAACTGGTTCTCCGGCTGTGGACGACTTCATAACTCCTCACCGGGCGAATATCGTGGGAGGCCCGTGCCTCCGAGAGGACTGGTTCGACTTTCTCTCTCTCTCTCTCTCTCTCTCTCTCTCCCTCCCCCTCTCCCTCTCTCCCGCCTCCCCTCATCCCGCACGGCCGTTTCCCATCGCGTTCCTCTTCCTCCTTACGTCCCTCTGCCTTGTTTCGTTTCTGCTTTGGCCGTGCGCTGCACGCGATGATAACGAACGAAGGAATCCCGCAGGAATCTCTGTACGGGATAAAAGGATTCTGACCGCATACGAACAGGCATCCGCGCTAATGGTTCCGACACTCCCGCCGCCCCCTCCCTTTCTCCCCATCCTGCCACACGTATACAGGTATATCGAACCTCCACCAAAGACCACGGCTACTCCCGTCCTCGTTCTTCCCTAACGATCGGTATTTCCACTTGTAAGCGCATTCCGAGAGAGTCCGCGCGTCGTCGATCGAGAGCACGATCGAGAGGTCCAGCGTGGTTGCGAGCGTGGTTCGTTCGTCGATCGATTCGTGTAGCCGAAGTGGCCGAAGAAACGAGGAGAGGAGAGGAGAGGAGAGGAGAGGAGAGTGGCGCGCGCGCGCAACGGGCCGCGCGCGATGGAATTAGGTGGCACCAGGAAGGGTAGGTTCCTCCTTACCGCGATACTAAAACAAATTCTTTCCGCGCGAGGGGCTCCCAGCGACCCGGCAGACAAGAATCTCGAGCAGCCGGGCCACTTCTCACGGCGGCCCCTTTGATCTCGGCCGACCACCCCCTCGTCTCCATCACGGTCACTCGAGCACCGGCAGCAGCTCGACCGCCTCCCTCGGCAGCGAGCCTTTTTACCCGTTGCTGGAGCTGCTGCTCTCTCTGCCCCCTGCCCCTCGTTACGCTCCACCCGACCGGGACGGGGACGGCCGCGGCACGACTCTCCACGCGGTGTCCGAAAACCAGCGAGAGATATATCCACCACGCCGCCTGACTATGCTGCGGATTCATTCGGTTTTACTATTATTACGCATACCGTCACGCGCGTGCGGCTCGTTCCGCGCTCTGGAATCTCGCCGGGATCCTGCTAAATCCCGAACTCTCCATCTCTCGAGGATCTCCGCGCGACAACACTGGATCGCTCGCTCGCTTGCTCGCTCGACTTTTTCGACCACCGTGCCTCTCGATTTCGATCTCGCGAAACATTGTGAGCCTTGATATTCCGTTGGATGAAAAAGGAAAAAAATTATCGATCGATCTCGCACGGCCAAAGAAGCCATTTGGAAGGCTCGGCGGAGGGAGGTGGGGGGAAGAAAGAAGCTGTCAAGATCCGAGAGTAGTGGTACGGGTGTACTGTTAGCGCGGAGGTTAGCTGGAAACGGGGATCGTTTCCAAAAAAAGATGCCTGACGAGTAAATGTGACCGATGGATCGGACGTTCTCTCACGGTCTCGCGAGAAGATTCACGGTCTTCGTTCGAGAGCGGAGAGAGAGAGCTCATTATGCTCGGCGAATACGAAATTCAGTCCACGAGGTTGACAATCGAGGGCCCCCGAGAGACACGGGCTCGCGTCACACCGTGAACAGGGGCCCCATCAGGGATGCCACGCGCGTGTGATCGGCCACGACGCGCCGCGTGCCGTTTCGCCCGCCTTCCTTCCCCGATTTTATCGCTCCACTTGCGACTTCTCTCGCAATCCGTTTCCACCGTACTTCGCTACTTCTCTTTACTCTTTACACGCGCAAACGTATTATGCGTTCCTTACAAAGAGAAACACTCCTTTATCGAAAAAAAAAAAAAATTGCAACTCGACGAACGGCGGACGATCGATGAATAAAATAAAGTTTCGAAACGACGATCGAGAGGAAGGAACGAAAATGAGGAGGGACAGAAAGAGAGAAAGAGAGAGGGAATGGGAGAAGAGTAGCCAAAGAGAAGCAAAGAGATTAAAGTAAACGATTACGGTGATGAAGGTGGTGGTGGAAGGAAACGACGAGAGATTGTACGAATAAGAAAAAAAAAAAAAAAAAAGATCGAAGAAGGGATGGGGAACGAAGACGAAGAAGTACGGCGTGCTTCCTGTTGCCCTAATCTTCCACTCCGGCGAGATCTCGTCCTCGGGAGGAATTATTTCCGATAAAAAACGGGCGAGTAAATCAACTAATTTATCGTTTTTGCGATTGGGAGGAAGGTGGGTCGTGAACGCGTTTGCCGGAGCATAGGCTGGCTCGGAATGGCAGGAATCCCTTTTGGCGGGTCCTGGATCTGGTCGTCCTTTCCGAGGGCCATTCGTGGGAAAGAATATCGGCTGACGTTCGGGACCACACGGTCGAATTATCGGTGTTTTGGCGTGTTATAGGACTCTCTCTCTCTCTCTCTCTCTCTTTCTCTCTTTTTCCTCCTCCTTCTTCTCCTCCTCCTGCTCCTCCTCGTGCTGTTCCCGTTCGGCCGAATTGGCTCGCGCGAGCGCGCGTCCGCTCGCACACACCTCTGCCCCCCGCGCACTCCGATGCTCCCTTTGCCGTCTTTGGCCGTCTTCCGCGGAACGAGCAAAGGGAATCTCCTACGGAATCCACGTCCCCGCCGACTGTGGGAACGAAAGCACGAGATCGCGATTCCCCGTACACCGTGTTCAGAGGCGTTCATCGACAACCAGATTCCTATCCTATCTAGCTTTATCTCTCCCTCCCTTCTCCCCGCCTCCCCCAACCACCCTGTTGCTCGCTCCAGCATTCAGGTCCGCCGGTATCGAGCTGGAATTCGCGGGTTCCGTGACGTGTATCGAGCAAGAGTCCTCGCCTACCCTCCTCGTCCTTCCATCTACGATCCGCATTCCCGTTCGCAGAAGCGGACAATCGAGGATCGAGTTAATTCCACGCGAATCGTCGCGTCCACTCTCGCGTGTCCCTCTTTTTAAAACGACGATTAAAACAATTGTCGTTGTTGTTGTTGTTGTTGTTGTTGCTCTCGCTGGTGAGCGAGCCAGCGAATGGCCACTCCGATGAATCTTCGCGAGGTGATCCGATTCCTTGTTGGATTAATAATTGGTGGAGTCGTGATCATCGGCGAGAATGATCGAGAAGGAAAGCGAGATCGTTAATGAAGTGAAACGGAGGAAAGGAGGCCTTTTCTTGGAGGGAGAGGCGACTACTGGCCGGGATCGAGAGACGTTATTATTAATGTCGAGCAAAAACGCCGAAATACATCATCCGGTCAGCGACGGCCACCTAAGTAGTCGGCCGACACTGGAGGCAGATGAGGTGGACGAGGGGGAGGAAAAGGTTTCGGAGGCAGAGCGAGCGCCGATACACACCGACACTCCGGGTCCACTCCGGGTAATTAATGGTTTTACGATATTGGAAATATCTTGGGAGCAACGGAGCAGAATCCGCTCAGGCGTCAAAACGAAAGGTCGGTCTCCGCCCCCTTTGGTGGCGGTGCCCCCCCTCGATCCGATCCGATCCCGATTTCACGATACGCGCGTTTTTACGATCGATCCGCCACGACCGAGCGGGGGATATGTTGGCGACGACGAGGAGAGGAGAGGAGGGGGACAATGAGCCGGAGATCGGGTTTATTTAGCTAAAGCGATTCGACGTCAAGATCATCGGGAGCGAAGACGAAGCGAGGGAAAAAGTGGAGAGCACTCGGGTGTGTACGCGCAAACAGGGGACCACCTGGTCATCCGAGGACTCGACTCATTCTTCTGTCCAACGT